AAGACAAAGAGAGATTCTTCAAAGCAGCAAGAGAAAAATAGTTACCTACAAGGGAATACCCATATGACTGTCAGCTGATTTCTCAACAGAAACTATGCATGAAATGCTGAAAGGTATTCTTTAGGAAGAGAAAGAAGAAGAAAAAGGTAAAGATAAAAATTATGAACAACAAAGTAACAACAAATACGTATCTATCAACAAGTGAATCTAAAAATCAAGTGAATAAATAATCTGATGAACAGAATAAACTGGTGAGTGTAATAGAATCAGGGGCATAGAAATGGAGTGGACTGACTATTCTCGGGGGGCGGGAAAGTGGTGTGGGGGGTGCGGGAAGAGGCTGGACAAAAATAGTGCACCTAGGGATGAGGACAGTGGGTGGGGAGTGAGGGCAGAGGGTGGGGTGGGAACTGTGAGGAGGGCAGTTATGGGGGGGTAAAGAGGAACAAATGTAATAATCTGAACAATAAAGATTTAATTAAAAAAAAATCTGTGAGTAAAACCATAGGTCTGGAAAACAAAAGAGAATCAACTAAAAAATTGAATAAAAGTCAGTGAGATGACACCAACAAAACATTCACTAATCAACAGTGTTTTCTATATTAGTCAGAGTCACCTAAAAAGATATAGAAAAAAATCTATTCACAAATGGCAAGTCAAATATATAAATTGAGTAGGAATAAAATGTTTTAAATGCATAGTATTTGTATAGATACTCGATAGCATACAGATTCAAATACAGAAACTTAGTTTCTAAAGGCTCCAGAAGTGATTTGTTCTAATCCCCCAGATTAGAAATAATGTAAATTGAATTAAACCTTTCCAGACACCACCCCCCCCACACACACACAGATTCTTTAGTTTTAACCTTTCTTATTGACAGTACATGTCTAATTTACTGTTTAATCTATAAGGAAACACTTATTTTCTTAAATTTATCAAACCATCCCCTACTAGTCTTAAAGAAATCATTTTCATACTCGTTCCAGGGTGTTTTCCAGGTTAGCATACAGCATCTTTGTTTGTTCATATGTCACTGACTCTGAAATGCTGTCACTGGCTAACTGCTTTCTGTTTATCCAAAACAACAACAGTTTTTCTACCTCCTCAATAGTCTGTGATCATTACTTCTTTCACTCCTTTAGCAACATTAGCGCTCTTGATGGCCACTTTATGTTTTAAAATTGTGCTAATAGTTGATTTCCCCAGCAACAAAAACATTCTCTTTGTTGTCTGAGAGATGCTTTTTGTCATGCTGAGGTATCAGCTTGAAAGGGTTGTCAGGTTGAAAACTAAAGTTTAGTTAGACAACAAAGACATTTTTTCAGTGAACTTGGTGAAGAACAGAATTGTTGGAGAAGGGAGACATTCCAGAAAGAAGTTTGACTGTAAATGAAAGCACGTATTACAAGTGACATTTTTCACTAAATCCATAAATATCTCAGGGGAACATAACCTTATGTGGGATAAAATTCAATAAACCCATTTTATGGCTCATCTGAAAAAATTATTATTTTGTAATAGCCAATAAATTTTAAGGTGGAGGAATGAAAGAACTGTGTCAATTAGATAAAAATGCATCATAAAAGCCTGCTAGGGTCCAGCGCCAGCAAGTCCAGGGGTCCCCAAAGGTGTGGACGGAGTCAGTCAAGACGGAATGACATGGAGACAGCGTTCAGTTGATCAGCAGCCTAGCCAGGATCTCTAGCCAAGTTCTGGTCAGGATCTCCAGCAAGTTCTGGTTAGGATCTCCAGCCAGGTTCTGTGTCCATGTTCTCTTGCTAGGTTCTCCAGCCAGGTTCTCCAGGTTCTCCAGCCAGGTTCTGTAGCCATGTTCTCTCGCTAGGTTCTCCAGCCAGGTTCGGTTTAGGTTCTCCAGCCAGGTT